TGCCCTGTGGGTCTTTCACCCCCCTTCTGGGCACACTTGCAGACAGAGGAGCCGGGGCACCCAAGTGGTGGAGGTTTAGGAGTGTTTCCCCCTCCTGCCTTCCCCCACTCACCTCTCCCAGTGCTGTAGTGCTGCAGCTTGTCACTGTACACGGCCTCCTTGCTGTAGGCACGCTTCCTGGGAGAAGAGGGGACAAAAACACCCATCCTTGAGGGCCCACCAGATGCCAACAGGCCCCAAACCCCTCCCCTGCCTGCACCGCTCAGCGAGCGGCGGCAGCTCGGCGCTCTCTCCAGCTGGTTCCCTTCACCAAATCTCTCCCAGCTCCATCTCAGCCCCTTCCAGCACCCCACGGGGACCCCACCTGCTGCAGACGATGGAGATGGCCACCAAGGAGACAATGAAGACCACCCCAGCTGCTGCAGACCCTGCGATCAACGGCAGCTGCTCCCTCAGCTCCGACTTGTAGTCATCTGCAAGGAGAAGAGGGATGGGGTGAAACCTCCCTCCTGTGCTCACAGAGGAGGAGCAGCCTCCTGAAAAGGGGTCCCACGACACCTCCTCTGATCCCACGGGTGCTGCTGCCACAAGAGAGGCCAAGGGGGCCCCTTGCAGGAGCTCTGGTTAAGGTGGGTGATGAGCTTGAGTGCTGTGCTGCACAGGGAAGGGTCGTCACGCTCGGCTCACGGGTATTTTGGGTTAAAAATAGGGCAAAGGAGGTTCTGTCAATAATGTCAAACCAACATGCACGGGCTCAGCCTCCCAGAGAGATGAGGTTCACAAGGTGGCTTGGCCCGTGCCTCTGGAGCTTCCCTTCCCTCAATAAATTTCAACCTCTTGGCCATTTTGACCCAATTTAACACAGAGCCTCACGTACACAAAATTCCTGCAAGTTGCAGGAAGGAAGTGAAAAAACCCCATTAATAACCAAACCAGCTGGGAAAGGCTGGACACTGGAGAGTCTACCACACAATAATTAACCTTGAGAGAGACCCAGGAGAGCACGAGTGTCTCTGTGGCAGGTCCAGGGGTAGGTTTTTACATCTCAATAGGTGGTATGAGCCAACTCCTTTAGCAGAGCTGGGGCAATTCCCTCAAACCTCCCCATCCCCTCGGCCACCTCCCCGTGTCCTTCAGCAGCAGGCTGGGTGGAAAGCCAAGGTGGCACAGGGAGGACTTGACGTGCCTGGAGGAAACCCAAGAAAGCCACTTGGTCTTGCCTCATTTTCCCTTTCTCCTGTGCCATTAGCAGTGTGGGGATCTGCCACAGGCAGCATCCAGCAGACCCCACGCTCCTGAGGCCTTCTGCAAACCCTCCAAAAACATCCTCCTCTGCAACTGTGCCCTGCAAGGCTCTGCCAGCAGCCACAAGCAAGGGTTAAAATAATATTCACTCCAAAAGAAAGCATTTAGCTCCCTTTTATCTGCATTTTCCTGCTCCGTGGTTAATTACCAGCAACTAGAATTCTCTCTTGCGTGCCGCTTAAATCCGGAGAAATTCTCATCTAACAATCAATTATTATTTAATAATCTACACTATCCATTCTTATTAAATTTCAATTAATTGCTTATTTGAGGCAGGATTTTTCTTCTCGCTTCTCTAATCCTGACTATTCCAGGCTCAGGAGTTTATTGCCATCCATCTCCTTCCCCTTGGTTGTCCTGCATGGTTTTTCCTCTTTCTGCCCCAGCTGGCAGTTGGCACGAGTGCAACCCGGGTTTGGGAAAGAAAAGAAGTTTTTGGAAAGCAGGGAAAGGGTGTCACCTAATGAAAGGAGGAACCACACGAGGAGCAGCAGGGAAAGGGGCTCTCTGCAGGCTGCTCCAGGACCACAAAAGGAGCCTTGCTTCACTCGTTGACTTAGGGGTTAGTCCTGAACTTGGGATTAATGCAAAACCCTCCCATGAGGAGTTGTTCTCTAAAGGGATCTAGAATTTTTGAGTGCAGGGAAGGGCTGGGGCCAGGAGGACAGCATGGCTGTGGCAAGGAGGCCAGAAGAAGCCAGTGGAGGTCATGAGTGGAGGTCCCTTGGCTCACCAGCTCAGGATGGGAAATCCGCTTCCAGTAACGGGTCTGACCCTTCCAGCTTCGCCCTGATGCAGCTCTCAGCACCCCAGGAGATCATCCCAGAGCCCCTTCTCCAGGGATCTACAACTCCCCACTGTGCCAGCCTCACAGCCACTGGCAAGGGGGGCTCAGCAGCAGGAAAGACAAAACCTCAGCTGAAGGGTGAGAGATGGAAACCCAACCCCCCCCCCCCCAGCACGCTCTTAACGAGCCCCAGCCATAAACCCCCCAGGGGAGCCAGGTCTGCAGAGAGGAGTTGTTTTAAACCAACTGGAGGCTAAAGTGTCCATGGAAAGCCAACTCCACAGCCCATCCCCATGCCCCACTCACCATCAGTCAGGGTCTGGAAGCACATCTTCCCACTGTACTTGCCATAGCCGGCCACGGTGCGGGCCCGAACCTGCACCACGTAGACCATGCCCGGGCGTAGCCCCTCAATCCTGGCTGTGTTGGTCTGGCTGCGGGCCATGGAGGAGTTGTACTCGTTGTGGTCCTGTGGGTGCAACCCAGAAGCTGTCAGGGAAGGGGTGGGATGGGGGACAGGGAGACTTGAAGCCCCCCCCCAGCCCCGCCGATGGTGAGGGTTGAGTTGATCTGCAAGGGGGATAAGGCAGCGGCCGTGGTTTTGTTGCAGAGGTTGGTCAAGGTTTGGTTGGATGGTCCTGGTTGCCTTTGACCACTGGCATGGAGGATCAGGACCTGTGGGCTGTGCCTGGCCTCACAAGCTTCCCCTAGTAGCACCACAGCAAAGAGAGCGAAGCAGCGGGAGGAAACAAGAAGAACATCCAGAGCAAAAACATTTAGGAGGAGCAAATCCTCTCTCTTCAAACCACTGATGTCCCTGCACATTCCAGAAACATCACATGGTTTTGGAAACGTTGTGATGGGCCCTGTGAGATCCTCATCAAGCAGGTTCAAGGGCAACTTGCCTCTTCTGACACCACAGCAAAGAGAGCGAAGCAGCGGGAGGAAACAAGAAGAACATCCAGAGCAAAAACATTTAGGAGGAGCAAATCCTCTCTCTTCAAACCACTGATGTCCCTGCACATTCCAGAAACATCACATGGTTTTGGAAACGTTGTGATGGGCCCTGTGAGATCCTCATCAAGCAGGTTCAAGGGCAACTTGCCTCTTCTGAGAGCCCCAACCCCGTTTCCGCTACGCTGGCAGGGGTCCTTGTGCCAAACCTTGGTGGAAACCTCACAAGTCTCAAATCTCATTTTTTGCTCCATCCCTTGGTGATTTGCTGTAAAAGGGCCGCTGGTGATATCATCTAATTATTCACATTTAGAGGAATTCATTAAAGCTGGCAAGACACAGGAGGGATGGAACAGCTTGGGCTCGGCACGGTTCATCACAAGGGTCAAGAGCATGTCCCCTGCAGGGAAGGACTGCTGCCAGGGAAAGGGCCTGGTGGGAGGCAGTGAACTGAGCCAGGGACAACCCCAATAACCTTCACCAGCCATCTCCACACCTCTCCTTTCCTCCTGATGCTGTCCCCAGCTCCAGGTCCCCGCTCACTCCAGCAGGTACCAGAGGCAAGGCAGCACCAAGCACTTCTATGCTGAGGAAAATTCTGCCACAAGGCAGCAGAAACATTTGCAGCCACAACATCAATCCTCTGGTTCTCTGCCTTCTACCCCTTCCCTCTGGTTCTCTGCCTTCCACCCCTTCCCTCTGGTTTTCTGCCTTCCACCCCCTGGACCTGGTACCTGCCCCACCACCCAGACGCTTCCGAGCTCATCGCTCTCCCCCCGCTACCAGCCAGCTCAGGGGCTGAGCAGCCTCCTTGGCAGCATGGCACAGAGCTCTGGGTGCCCACAGCCCACCCTCTGGCCCATGGTTCCTGCTCCAGCTCACCGCTGGGGGCCTGGAGCCCACGGGGGTGCTGGTGTCGGGGGTGCAGATGCGGCTCAGCTTCTCGTAGTAGCGGATCTCGTAGTCCAGGATGATGCCGTTGGGCTGCTCAGGCTGAGGCCAGGAGAGAGTGATGCTCCTCATCGTGGCACTCACCTGGTGCATGATGGGGACGGTGGAAGGTGCTGCAAGGAAGGAGGGAGAATTAAAGAAAGCAAAGGGGAAAATCCCCCGGGCACGGGGAGTGTCCTGGATCTCCCCCACCGGCGGCTGTTGGCCCCGTGGGATGAGCTCACACATCAACAGAGGGAAGAGAAGCATCTCAGCAGCTTATGTGGAGCCAGAGCAGCGAGCCAGCAAGGGAATTCTGCTCTTAAACTAATTATTCCTTTTAATTAGGGGCTTAGAAATCCTTGGTGTTCCTTCTCCCTGGGATTTCCTGTGCTGAGGATGTTTCCCGCGGCGGGGTACAGACAGCAAAGCTCTCCCCAGAGGGGACACGCCAGGCTTGGTGATGGTGTCCAGCTCTGCTTGACACCTTCTGCTTTTCCCAGCAGCTTCTCTGGTGGAGCCAGCAGCCAGCAGGAGCACTGCAGGAGCTCGTGCCACGGCTGCAACCCCACGTGCTGTCGGTAGCAGGACGTAGGACCAAAACTCTGCCCACCCTGAGCATGATGCTGGGAAACACCCCAGCCCAGCAAGGCAACACCAAGGTCCTGGAGCCTGTAGCACTGTCCCAGAGGAGCTGCTGGGTTCACTCTTAGGGGTTCCTAGGGGATGCTCATCCTCAGCTCCCAAACGTGCTTCTCCTGGGAGTTTTATTTCTGAAGCCCAAACACGTGAGGAACGGCCTCAAACCCTCTTTCAGCTCCTAGCCCACCCCAGGGCCATGGCACAAGGGTGCTGGAAAGGCAGCACCTCCATCCCTGGAGCTCCTAAAACCTCCTGGGCAGCAATCCACATGGGTCCTGGGCATTTTGGCAGAGCAAGAAAGATGCTCAGCACTGGCTGAGCACACAGCCAGCATCGGGTGTGAGCTCAGCAGGGTTTGTCCAACCAGGACTGCTCTGTGTCTGCTCAGGAGCTGAGCCCCCCCAGAACTAAATATCCCCAGCAGCAGCAACACCATCAAGGACATCAAGCTGCTAAATTAGTCAGGAGCCACTTTCCAAAGGCTCTTTTTCCTTCAAATTATACTTGGAAGGGCTGGAGTCAGCCAAAACGTCCCCAAGTCTCTCTGCACCCAAAGCTCACAGGTCTCTGCCCTCTCCTCCTCCTCCTCCTCCTCCTCACCCTGCTGGCAGTGCTGGGCAGGGAAAATCCCTCCTCTGTGTGGCTCTGGGGCAGAGCTGAGCTCAGCACCATCAGCTTGGGGCCCAGGATTGTGCTGTGGAAGGAATCTGGGGGCAGTGGGAGCCCCACTCCACACAGCCACATGGGGAGATGTTGATAGTTTGGCACCACCTTTGTTTACCCAGCATATTTAATCCCTTTTTTTTTTTTTGAATCTCTCCACATCCGCTCCAGGAAGATGCTCGTGGGCTGGAATTAACCACTTAGCTTGATTGCTGATTGGTTAATTGCTGCATTCCCCACCCTGTTAGCAGGGATAGAAGCAGGCAGGCGGGTGGGACTGG